CGCCATCGAGACAACACATGTAGTGAAGAAGCAGAAGATGATGATGTCAGGCAGCGGTTCTCGTGGCCGCTTGACTGCCGGCGATTTCTCTATGCTTGAGCAGTCGCTCCTTGTTGTCGCTCAGCGCCATTATCGGAGCCTTATAGCTACAGACTGGCCATACCCGGACCTCACAGAGGCGACAACGTATGCCAAGGATGCCTGGGCGAAGGCTTGCTCAGGCAAGAATGTGTCTGTGGCATTGACAGACGGCCTCAGTACATTGGTGCATCTTACAGTATCTTCTCAGCTCTAGACGATCTAACTACATCTAGATAACTGCACGGGGGTCACAGTTGCGTGGCGAAGTCAAGAGCAAGTGCCGCACCCTTGTGCCGGTCCTTTACAAGTTGTACGATGCCACTCAGAAGGCGGATCCACGAGAGACGCGCGACAAAGTGGCAGTGCTATTGCAGGGCAACTCATTCATTTTCAAGGTAAGGAGACCTCTGCTACAATGAAAATGCTTACAAAATTTGTAGGATCCGGCGACACGGGAGGGTGCATACATGCACCCTATCATTCAGTCAGTGATTAATGAAACATGTATGCGAACCATACAGATGAAGGAATCATGTACACGGAGTACTTCGAGTCCATGGTCACCATGGAGCGACGTGGAGAGTGCGCGCGCAAAGGGATACCGCTCATGACTATAGCCCTGGTGCTGACGGCGGTAAGTCCCGACTTTTTGCCTGTGGCCTGCACTAACTGGTTGCATAGGTTCAATGTGCTCTCGATGAATGGATAACCGGTCAACGCACGGACATCCAATTTACCGAATCGGCCTATGCTCAGAAGTTCGATGCGCAGCTTACCGCCCTTGAGACCTTTGACTTCAAGACCAAAGATCTAGATGTTGTCACCAGGATCCGAGTAAACTTGCTGAAACGTGCACGGTGAGTCATTATCTTGCTTTGAGGTGCACTTGATTTGCTGAGCTTCTTTCGTAGGAGTTGCGCGAAGGTACCGGAGACAAATGAAGGTGATGCACGCCTACTTGTCAACGATGACTACGCAGCGGCGAGGAGGGAGTGGGAGCTGCACGGGGTAGAATATGACAGCGAATGAAGCATCCGGTAGATTATTGCTAGAGACCGATTTATTATATGAATGTTATATGATTGAACCCTTCTATGACCGAACTATGCATGACTATGCAGCCTATACTCCAACATCTATGCGACTATATGACCTATTTGCCTCTACCTTCGAGCCATATAAGACCTCTCATATATCGTTGCAGTTTATAGTGACCTATGGGGAGGGGGGGAAACCAAAAGACCACTCTGCCCTCTGTAACCTACATTGATCTATGCTGGCTTCCGCGTGTTTCCTGATGCATGGCCTGGCCTTTCTGGGGAGGTTATTCAAAGCGGTGATGACCGCCGACTCTTCGATTCGTGGTGGCAGTCCTTCCCACCCCCTTTACAGACCAGGACGCACGTTTCACGTTCATAATGATTCCTGTCGCGATTGTTTTTTGCAGCCCCTTTCATATATCTTTCTGTCGAGTGCCTCTTATTTCTGTTTGATCTCACGCGTCTACAATCGGGCTTGCTCATTGCTATGCTTGTAGTGAGTCTGACTATTCTTGTCGTCTGCATTCACCTCTTCAGAGAATAACTACTTCCGCAATGAGCTTGTGTCCTAGACTCGTAGTCCTTCGACGTTTAAAGCAAAACTATGACATATTCCAGACTACCAAGAGCAGGATAACCCGACGAGCCGACTCTATAGTGATGCATGCAGATATGTACAGATGTCCCGAAGCAGCCCTCCCAAGAATACACATTGCCCCTCCCTCACTTCGTCCGCTTGTAGATCTTGTCCAGGAACGCCTTGAACACTTCCCGCTTGAGCACGGGCGACCCGTCGGCCGTGGGCGTCTCGGGGACGCTCTCGATGAGGCCGATGATCTTCTTGTACGCGCCCTCCTCATACTTGGCGTACCGCCCGCGCATGTCGAGCTCCTCGTAGATCTCCTTCACCTTGCGCTCCTTCGCCGAGTCCTTGCGCCCGTAGTTCTCGTCGAGCAGCGCACGCTGCTCGGGCGTGGCGACCGCGAGCGCGGTGTTAATGCACCATGAGCACTTGTTGTCGAGGATGTCCGTCCCGATCTTGCCGATCTGCTCTGGCGTGCCGGCAAAGTCGAGGAAGTCGTCTTGCACCTGGAAGTACTCGCCGAGCGGGATGAGGATGTCCTTTGCGGCGTCATACGGCTTGAAGGAGCCCTGCGAGACGGGGATGCCGGACATGTGCATCGCGAGCGCGACGGGCAGGTAGAAGGAGTAGTACGCGGTCTTGTAGACGACGATGAGGCGATGTCTGTAGAGGGTGGCTTAGCATTCCACAGGAATCTGTACTGTGATATCCTTACCTCTCTAGTGAGAATTTACTCAGGTCAACTTGGTCTTCGGGGGCGGTGATAAGGTCGAGGAGTTGGCCCATCTCCGTCAAGTATGTTACCTGGGTTCACGACATAAGTACGGTCACTCGAGGAATCGAAGAATCGACGACTGACATCGTGGAACAGTTCGAGGAGGTCGACGTAACAAGCGTCCTGGCGGAAGTGTTTCCGGAGGAGGAAGTAGATGGCGGACTCGAGCATGAACGAGTCGTTGATCGCGAGCATGTTCACGCCGTCGACACGGAACCAGCATGGCTGTCCGCGACGAGTGACCGAGTTGTCCATCATGTCGTCAGACACCAGGAAGAACGCTTGCAGCTGCCAGCGGTCAGGGCGAGGGAACACCGGGCTGGACGGGGCTTCACTCACCAGCTCGACACACCATCCCAGCAGCGCCGACTTGAAATACTCCTCCTCCGTCAAGTCTGATCCTTTCAGTATACGGACGGTGTCGACGACGGACAGCCCGCGGTTGAGCTTGCCGCCGGGGGTGTTGTAATTGAGGCTCTACGAGGCGGTGTCAGGCGCGTAGGCGAGTACGAAAGGAGATAGATCACGCACGCGCTTGTACCACTCGACCGCGTCCTCTGGCATGCCCTTGGACGCGAAATCGGCGATGATCTCGTTCCGCAGGGTCTCGAATACATCCTCGAAGCGCAGACGAGCAGCTTGCTTTCCGTTCGTAGTCGGCTTGGACGCCGTCGCCGCGGCGGACGCGACCTCGGTCTTGATCATCGGACTGGGGGCCATGGCGAAGGAGGGGTAAGCAGGAGAGGTGAGTACTCGAGGTAAACGGGCGCGAGAAAGCAGAGGGCGTGTTTTATAGTCTCACTCGGGACAAGTCCGAGACAGTCGTGTAAAGCTTTTAGAGTGGCACGATCTCGGAATCCGATGTCTCGGTTAGGGCGGCCGCACTAACAGGACGGCCGCGTTAACGCACCAGCAGTGCATCCTGTACCTGTCGGTGATTGTAGTCTCGGATTGGGCAAGGCATGGACTAACATGGGCTACTGGGACGATGAGCGACGGAACACCGACAACATCGAATGGAAGAAAAGGACACGGTGAGTGGTGATTGGATTAGATGCGACAACATGCGACACGACTATGGATATAGAACACGATGAATGGACAGGATGCGAAATAGATGTGGATGTGATGCGACGCGCAATAAATGAATTATACCATATTTTTGGTCCCTGTAACCCCCACCTCATCATCGCCTTAGAATCCGCCCATACCGCCCATTCCACCCATACCGCCCATGCCCATACCAGGCGCCGGCTTGTCCTTCTCCTCGGCCTCCACAACGCACGCCTCACTCGTCGTCAGCAAGCTCGCGACACCGGCAGCGTCCACGAGCGCCGTCCGGACCACCTTGAGCGGGTCCACGATACCGGCCTTGATCATGTCGACGTACTGGCCCTTGCTCGCGTCGTAGCCCCACGCGAACTTGTCCGCGCTTCCATAGTTCGTCGTCAACGAGCCCACGATCACCGACGCCTCCTCGCCCGCGTTCGACAGGATCGTGCGAGCCGGCTGCGTCAGCGCCCGGCGGATGATGGACACACCGAGATCCTGGTCAAAGTTGGCGGTCGGGATCGGCTTGGCATCGGGGGATGTGGGCTGACTCGAAGCACCGGGCGCGTTCGTGGCCAGAGCCAGAGACGCCTTCAGGAGCGCAACACCTCCGCCGGGCAGAATACCCTCCTCCACCGCCGCGCGGGTGGCGTTGAGCGCATCATCATAACGGTCCTTCTTCTCACCGACCTCCACCTCGCTGCTTCCGCCCACCTTGATCACGGCGACACCACCACTCAGCTTGGCAAGACGCTCCTGCAGCTTCGTCTTGTCGTACTCGCTCGTGGCCGGGTCAGCGATCATGCTGCGAATCTGCTCACAACGCGCCTGGATGGCGTCCTTGGAGCCCTCGCCGTTCAAGATAATCGTGTCGTCCTTCGTGATCGTCACCGACCCGGTCGAACCAAGTAAGTCGGGCGTAGCACGTTCCAGCTTGATGTCCAGTTCGTCCGTAAAGACAGTACCGCCAGTGAGGATAGCCAGGTCGCCCAGGATGGACTTGCGGTTGTCACCGAACCCGGGCGCCTTGACGGCAGCCACGGAGAGCTGGCCGCGGAGCTTGTTCAGGATGCAAGCAGCGAGCGCCTCACCGTCAACGTCCTCGGCAATGATCAACAGAGGTCGACGTTGCTGGGCAGCTGCCTCGAGCGACGGCAAGATGTCCTGGAGCAGGCTGATCTTCTTCTCGCTGAGCAGGATGAGCGGCTTTTCAAAGTCGACCTTCTGCGCCTTGACGTCCGTGACAAAGTAGGGAGAGATGTAACCGCGGTCGAAACGCATGCCTTCCGTGATCTCAATCTCGTCCTCGATCGTCCGACCCTCCTTGACGGTGATAACACCCTCCTTGCCGACCTTCTCCATAGCCTGGGCAATCAGGTTGCCCACGTGGGCGTCCCCGTTCGCTGAGATCGTTGCAACCTGGGCAATCTCGGCCGTAGTAGTGATTGTCTTTGCGTTCGAAGACAGGAATTCGACGACGCGTTCGACGGCAGCCTGCGAACCCCGGCGGAGGTCCATGGGGTTGCATCCAGCGGCGACGTTCTTCACACCCTCCGAGTAGATGGCACGAGCCAGAACGGTAGCGGTCGTCGTACCATCACCAGCAACCTCGTTGGTTTTTGACGCGACGTCCTGAACGAGACTGCGAGGAACGTCAGTACCGCGTAAGTCCAGAGCGCGCATATACTCACCGTGCACCCAAGTTTTCGAACTTGTTTTCCAATGAAATCGACTTGGCAACGGTCACACCATCTGAGAAGTTCATTGAGCGCCGTGTCTGACAAACGATTCACACATGCAACGTACCTTTGGTGATTTTGGGTCCGCCAAACGACTGCTCAATGATAACGTTGCGGCCTGCGCGTCCTTCAGTACAACAGGACTCGCGGAAGCGCATACGCTACCTACCCTTGGGACCCAGCGTGACACTGACAGCGTTGGCGAGCGTGTCAACACCCTTGAGAATACTCGCGCGTCCCTCGTTGGAGAACTTAATCTCCTTGTGGGCGCCGCGGGCCAGCGAAGGCTTCGCGGCTTTTGCAGCTGCGCGGCGCAGAGCGCGGGAAGAGGTGGACGAGACGTGGTGCATGGCGGCGGCGGGAGTGTCGGGGACGACGGCAACGACGAACGAAAGAACCTCGGGACGAAGCTTTTCAAGCAAAATTGGGCTCGCGAGCCGAACTCTCTGGAATGCACGGGGAAAGTTTCCCAGCGTCAGGTGATGTCCCGATTTGGCTTTTGTCAGGGTTTGCTTCCGCCGACATCGTGTCTGATGCATAGAGGTGCTATTGCTCGCTACAGTCTAAACACATAGGACGAACACTGCGAAATATTAGCGACTGAAATGTATAAAATAGCGAATTCAATTTTGAATGGCTGGATTAATAAATACATAAAAGGGACTAGAAAGGATATTCACGAGGGGGCGGGAAGGACGGCCACCACAATTCAAAGAGTCGGCGGTCGTCACCTCTGTGAATAATCTCCCCAGGGTGACCAGGCCATTCAACCTCTGGGTTTCGGGTAGCCGAATACCGCACCACACCCGCGTCGCCCGCCCAATCAAAGTCTACCACCTTCAGCTGCACGCCCTCGGGTCCAAACACGATTCGTTGCCGGGCATCGTCCAGCCTGATCATGATATTATTCGAGCGGAAATCTCCGTGCACGTAGCCAGCTGCCTCCAGGACGGACAAAACACGTTCGAGAGCGCGTTCGGTAGCGAACAGCACATGCGGGGCCTCGATGACACTTCTCTTGCTGCCCGCTGCGAGGTCGAACAACGAGACCCATCGCGAGTCGAGCTGTTCCATCACGTATGCCGTCGGAGCGCCTTCGAGGACCTTGCGACCGTACAGCTTCGGTGCATGTCCATGCGAGGCAAGATGGTCGTGCACCTTCTCGCCGTACGCTCGCGTTACGAGCTTCACTAAAACTCGCTCGGCCTCGACGTTGGGCCGCTTCAGGGAGGCTGAGAAGATGGCATGCTCTGAAAGAAGGGTCCGCTCAAAGTCTGACAAACTCCCGAGGGCCAAGGCTGGGTTGCCGTCTATTGAGTTACAATCATGATAAACCCTAGGGGTGGAGGGCCTTAGACGCTGCCGGGACTCCGGTGTCCTGGATAATATCATCATGAGTCACGGTGACAGTTGTATGAGCACCAGACAGGAGCAGGTACCTATCCAGCAGATCCACACCGTGGCGAAGAGCATACAGAACCTGTGCAAGCTCGTTCGGGCGCCGGTCCGTCCCATCTGCGAGCATGTAACAAGGCCTGGTCAAAGGTTCCACCACGACATGAGCCCCATCCCAGTAAGCACCCGAGACGATGAAAAGAGGGCCTGGGAATCGAGAGTTTAGGTGATGCAGACGAAGAATCAGTGACTCGCCTTACGCACCTAGCACACATACCAAAAACGCCGGAGATCCCTCGGTCGTGCTATCCATCTGGCGCCATAGATCGTAATCTCGGGCTACCTGCATATAAACCTCACCGCCATGCCCAATGTCAGCCCTGTCCTCGCGAAGAACCAGGACTCGGCCATCCCAGGACACGAGTGTACGGCCTACGTGTCCAACGGAGACGTCGCCAGGCGGGCTCAGGTGATGCTTACTCCGCCAAGAGGGGAAAAGACCCTGAACGCACTTGTCAAACTGGGATGATCGTTCGCTATCATTCGTGAAACTCTCGCCCATGCAGTGACACAAGCCCGCAGCAGCCTGGAGAGCCCGGATTGCCAAGGGGCATCCCAGTGGAAGCAGAGAATTGGCTTGAAGAATGAACTCCCTGAAGGCATCGTGCAGCGTCGACAGGGGAAGGCCTCGCTTCTCTGGAGGCCTCCCGCAAAGCAGGTTGGGTATAACCATACTCGGCCAGTTCAAGGCATAGTCAGAGGGAGAAGGCTTCGGGCTTTTATGCTTGCTGTAGCATTCACGGAAGTGGTGGTAGGCATTTACACACGCCTCAATGAATACGCCTTCGCAAGGAAATTGAGTGCAGCATGCGAATGCGTCGAATTCGAAGCGAAGGGCTCACCCAGCTGCTCAACATTTGGAAACTGTAAATCGAGGAATTCCGAGGCGATCTCGCATTCACCTCCTTTCCGTAGGAATACAGTTAGGACCGCGCGCAAATCTTTCACTCGGCCCTCCAGGCTGGGCGACCGGCCGGTGTGATTTAATTGCATGCGTGCTTCCAACATTTCTAACTGGCTGACCAGGTCTCTGGCTGCTGCGAGAGCGTCGGCTTTCAATGAGTCTTGCAATTTGAGGCGTTTTCGTTGACGTTCTTCGTCTGATGCTCGGGCACTGGGGGGTCGCGAGGATGCCATTGCGGACACTGGCCGTTACAGGCAGCTATGCTATACCGTATTATGGTATACGTACACGTACGGTACGCGCGTCTGACACTGGTACTTGATTAGAGTCTGGACGTTGTGGCGCGAAGAAAGCGCGAGCCCTGTTTGTATCATACTAGGCACTCAGTTGGACTTGTAAACCGCGTCTCCTGTCTATTAGTATAAGGAGGGCGGTAAATGGCTGGTTCCTCTCGAGACACCCCCCATTAGCCACGCTGCCTGCTGGCCGGGCTGACACCGCACCAGCCTATCGATGGTATGCATCACATGTAGTCGGACAAAAGCGTGTCTGCAGGATGCGAATCTGCATGAAGACGCTGGTCGTCAAGTGATCTTCGGATGTCCGATACGTTCCCGAGCGAAGCGTGCCACATAGTCTTTAACGTTAATGAATCCCCATGCTGATTGGACCACAACGCCTTGCAGCCCGAATGGGGGATGATTCGGACGATTCGGACAGTATCGCTGAGGGTAAACACCCGTGCACGGTATCATTCATCATTCAACGGCGATTCGTTCTGATTACTCCCGGACCGCAACAATAGGGACCCCTTTCCGGAGCTATACGATGGCTCGCGGTGTCTCGCGCATATGATTCAAGTTGGGCAGCTCAGCCTTTCCTGCCTCGCAGGTCAAGGTTACAGCGCCCGAGCATGTTGCGAACCCAGCGAGAAGCATGCTCATCCATCTCCCCTCTATTCGAAGGCGCGCTCATTCGCCACCGGCGGTAGCCCGGTCAGTAAGGATGATAGTGACCTGTCGGCGATCCTCGATACTCTCCATCTGACTGCGCGCCGGAGGTCATTCGTGCAAGCCTGTGCAAGCTCGTCCAGCGGACGCGTGGCTTGCCAGCCGTGTCGGGAGCTATCTGCTGGGTGAGCGTTCTTCCTCCCCCGATGGGGCGTTCCATTTCGTGAATCGACCCCTCGCAACCGTGTGCTTCCTCTCAGACCGCTGGGCTCGTGGCTTGTCATCTTTGCAGCACGGTGCTTGGTAGAGTTACATTGCGAGATGCTTCCACTTTGCGCTATCTGGCACATAGTTTAAATATCTCGCAGCGAAACTCGATATCTACATCCCCATACCCGCCTTCCTCCATCCAACCCGCGCAATGAAGACGACAACCTCGGTCCTCCAGCGGTGCCTCTGCCTGTTCACTCTGACCATCCCCGTCCTGAGCGCGACATACTCCCTCTCCGATAATGTCGTCGGCAGCGGATTCAACAGCTTCTTCTCCTACCAAGCCATCTCCGACCCCACACACGGCCGAGTGTAAGTCGCGTTCCTCACAAATGGTGGCACGCGCTGACGGCCAGACCAGAAACTACGTCGACAAAGGCACAGCACAGAGCAAGAATCTCACCTACGCCTCCGGCAACACGTTCATCCTGCGCGCGGACCACACCACGACTCTCAGCGCCAGCGGACCCGGGCGAGATTCGGTGCGGTTGCAGTCGAACAAGCAGTATAGCACCCACGTCGCCGTGTAAGTAGCCTTCGGTGTCCTGAGGGCGCACGCGGCATTCATTATTTTCGGACTACAGGTTTGATATGCGACATATGCCCCAGGGATGCGGGTGAGTGCTCTTTATTCGATATGTGGGCGGGAATGTCTGATATCGGTCGGTATTAGGACCTGGCCGGCAGTCTGGGAAGTCGGCAACAACTGGCCTAACCAGGTGAGGGTCCCGTATCCCCAGTCGACGATAGACCATTAATCACCGGCCCGTTTCCCATCAGGGAGAAGTAGACATCGTCGAGGGCGTGAATGACCAAAGCCCGGACCAAGTCACCCTACACACCAGCTCAGGTTCGTTCGTATCAAGCATCCTTCAAACAAGTAAGATCGATCACTGAACTGGTGACTCCAGGCTGTACCATGCCTTCCTCGCGGTCCATGACAGGGTCCATCCTCCCTATCCCTCGAGCTGTGCCCACTCTAATCTCGCTTCCGTAGATCGTCCACTGGCACCAACTGCGACACCGCCGCTACTAATAACGCAGGGTGCGGCGTCAAGGTGAACGGCGCCAACAGCTACGGGCCCGCGTTCAACAGCAACGGCGGCGGGTGGTACGCCGTCGAGCGTACCAACTCTGCCATCAAGGTCTGGTTCTGGCCGCGGAACAGCGGGAGCGTGCCCAGCGACGTGCGCAACGGGGGGAACAGCGTCAACACCGGGAACTGGGTTTGTCATCATATTGTTAGCGCTGGGTGCTTGTGCGCTGACGGCGTTGGCAGGGTACGCCGAGCGCGCTCTTCCCGAGCACCAGCTGCGACATCAGCTCGCATTTCGGCCCGCACAATATCATCATCAACTTGACTTTCTGTACGTCTTCTCCTTGCCGCCTCTCCGACTACCTCTACCAAAGCAAACCTGATGTTGAACTGCAGGTGGCGACTGGGCAGGTTCGGTCTACAGCTCGAGCGGCTGCCCCGGGTCTTGTGTCGGTCCGTCGTGATCCCTCTATTACTCAAGAGATGAATTCTGACCAGTATGTTATCGACAGATTATGTGAACAATAACCCTTCGGCGTTTAACAACGCATACTTCGACTTCGCCGCGATCCGGGTCTATACCTGATGCCTCCATAATTCGGGTCTGATCTTGTATCTTTGGGTTTCTAGCTTCTGTGCGAGTGTACGATACGACCTCTGGAAGGTCGATCTGCGTAGTTGTATCATCTTATTCGAGCTCTGTACTGATATAAGTTTTGTTGTAACTCGTCTTGTATTTATCATTGCGAATACGCGTGTATATTAGCATGACCATACCGAGAGCCTCGCCTGCGTCTTCCCCGATACGAACTGCAATCTACAATCCATAGCTTGAGGTCAATCAGCTGCATTCGGACCCTCCGTGTACCGAGCATGTCTAGTCTGGACCGCAGAACACGCTTCACTTCTTTCACATACCGCTCCGGAGTCCAGGCGCGCTGGCGATGGATGCCCTACGACTCGTCCCACAAGGCCCAATCTTCACCTGCAACGTCGTTCAACTAGTCAAAAGCTAGGAGGGGTGTCTGATTGGCTGACTTGGGCGAAGAGAGCAGGAATCGAGTATGGACGAGACAGCATGATATAGTACAAGTGTTGAAACAAATCACAATAACTTAATCCATCTAGCATCTTACTGCGGTGCTGCACCAGCCCCGGACTTCCAGCTAGCCATAGCGTGTCAGACGCGAGGCGAGACAGGACTAGAGAGGACATACATCTGATAGGTCGCTGCAATGAAAGGGATAGAGAACCCGGTCGTGCAGAAGAGGGCGTACTTCAGAGCGAATGACCGCTTGCTATAGTCGAACGGGAACGTGTGCTGCGGGATGACAGGCGTCAGACGCACGTCCATCGCAGAGAAAGGGACGTATGAACCTCATAGTAGACGCGGTTCTGGGTACTCGCGAACCTCTTTGTCGCAGCCTGGGACGCCTGCGGAGCGACAGAGGTACGCAGAAGGTTGGCAGACGAGCGCAGGAGGGCAGACATGACGCGCGAGTAGAGTATGGAGCAGTGCGGGGTCGTTCAGGGTTGTAGCGAATACACTACCGTGCCTCATGACCCTTGAGCCTTTATAGCGCGGCCTCTGTACCCACACTATAGATAGCCTCGAGCCATGGGACCATCCATCTGGAGCAAACGAGGCTCGGGCGGTGTGCGAGTGACCTAAGCAATTTGTATTTGGCATTCCGCAGGTACTGACAGGCTTGCTCCTCCAAGGTGGTCAGTCATACTGAGCCCATAACGAGAGACTCGGAGACTTCTGTCACGGTGAATATTGTCGGGTACCCAGGCTTTCTGGCGAGCTAGGACGAGCAAAATTGAGGCTATCTGTCTGAGACATTTCTATACTGCTAATCGTCCTCGCCGTCGAGATTCTGGGCAGTGGCCACCATCAGGTGAATCACAGCGAAGTCCAGCCCGATGACCGTGACCAGTTCTAGAGCCTGCCGAGTGTGAATGAAGGTTGGTGGAGAAACATCTCCCGGGCAATTGTCGTACGACCAGTGGCAGTAGGCCGATAAGTGCGCCCTAGTTCGTGCACGGGTCCTCGGCGGGGTAGACAAGGACAGTGGTAGACAACGATCGCGAGAATCAGAGGAATGAGGGCGTTTAAAAAGTGCTACGGTCTATATTATGTGTTGAAACCAATTTGGTACGCCACCTTGGCTAAGTGGTTACGGCGCTCCGCTTGTATGTCATGCGACGGAGAGATCACTCGTTCGATCCGGGTAGGTGGCATAAAGCTATTGTTTTGCTATTCCACTGACTGGAACTAGTCCTCGTATTCTCGTTCCATTGACCTTTTTATCATCTATTTGGTGGCCCAATCTCAAGTGATGGAGCGCACCTAGACATCCAGGGACTAAAACTACTTTATAGTGCCCATGGCAGCTGTGATCAATATTGAACTGATAACCGGAGTAACTGCCGTTGCAGCATTGGGAATCACGAGCCGTACCTCGTTAGTACATATACATTGGCAAGAATACTTAGCATGCGCCCTTGTCTAAAGGATGGTACAGTGTGCACCCTCTTCTCAGACGACGAACTCACGCAGTCTCTTCTGGATCTGCCTGACCTGCTCAACCCTCTTCTTCAGTTCCTCCCGCTTAGCGGTCACCGCTGGGTCCTCATCCAACAAGCGTGTCAACGTCTCAGAATCGGCCTTACCCGAAGCGATGCCCGTCCTTTCGAGAAGACGCCTTTGCATCTGAGCAGAGACCGCTTTGTTGAGCTTGTTCTCGATATTCTGGGGCATATCGTCGATAATGCGCTAAAACAGACCCATAGAGCACGTCAGCTACGGCGAAACATGAGCGGATGATCACGAATCAGTCGACCTTGTAAGCAACTTGAAAGTATGCACGGACGTCGGCCATAACAGTTATTTCTTCCTCGAATTCAGGGTTGGGAGGGTACAACCGTTCCAGATCTTCAGCGCTCAGAGCGCCGTAGCCGGCATTCTGGAGCTCTTGCAGCGCTCGCGCTACAATAATAGGATTGTGATGCACCGGTGGTCGCCCAGCAGCCCTGTACTGTCTGAGCCACGTCTCTCGAGTTTCCGAGAAGTAGTGGATGTTGTCCGTGTAGTACAAATTGTCGCTCTCCAGAGTTTCAGTCACAAATTCGAGCGCGAGTCGCTTCACCTCCTCCATCAACTCGAAGACAAGCTGCCTTCCAGTCAGAAGCGCATTGTGAGCTACCTCTATTCACATATTGAGCGGATAATCGCACCTCATATGCACCTCGAGGGCCTTGAACTGGCCGAAATGCGTCTTGAGTAAGTCAGTCGTATGATCCGTCAGCGACTGCCAGACGGAGTCGAAGCATCTCTTAGTCGGTTCATGCCATAGTTTGATGAATCTTTTAATCAAGCGCTTCTTGGCGTCGTAGGGGATGTTGAATGGCAATTCCCATGCTGTTTCTCTGTGGACAGCGGTTAGCATTGCGACCGGCTGAAGCAGCGAAAAGGCATACTCTTCAATGACTCGGCGCACGGCTGTCAAGTTCATCCCGCCATATTGCTGAACGTGGCGTATTCCCATGGTATCCGGGAATTCTTCGCCGTCAGAAACGGCTCCTTCTACTGCCTCAGTAATGTCGAAAGCCGAATTCTTCACTGTGAACTGAGGCACGGTGCTCCGGATAGCCTCCTCAAAGTAATGGTATGCGGCCCTATTCCGCCGGACGAAAGTCTTGTCATCACACTTTCCATGAACACTCGCCTCGAGGTCGGTGGAGAAATTTATGATCAGTGCCAGAAGTTCCACCCCAGGGTCACTGAGACGTGGCGGGAGCTTCGAGAGCTTGGAAAGATAATCTGCAAGGAGTTTCGCCACGTCCGTCCTCAGCTTCGGCAATCTGATACGCTTGTTAACATGCAGTCACAAATTGTGGCACATCCGCTCACCCTTCTTCCATACACTGCAACAGCAAGTCGCTCGCATACGACACAAGCCCGGGGATTCCCAGTCTGGACCGATCGCTGATCTCCTTCCAGGGGGATTTACTTTCGAAGAACTGCTGCGCACGCTGGATACTTTGCGCGCGGGTCAGCACCTGCGTCCGCTCCTGATCGTCCGACAGCCGGACGCAAAAGTACCCATGTGTCAGTGGATGGTCCTCGGCGTCCCCTTGCAGCACTTTCTTCCAGCGTTCCATGAGGCCCGTTTGGCCCGGAAGCACTGTGTCAGGCTTTGTGATAACACCTGTGTATGCGGTCGATCAGATGGGCGCGCATAAGCACGAGGTGGGTACACACCAAGGGTCCTCTTCCCCTCCGGATCTGCCGTCTTCGCAAGAAGCAGGGCTTGCTGGTTTTGTATATCGTCTGTATTTTCAAGTTATGAAATGTAACAAGAAGCGGAGGCTGAGAGAAGACTTTACCGCTAGCAGGGATAGTGACGAGGATGAACGTCTTCTCCCCTTGAATATACTCTTCCACCAATCCTTTGATGATCTCAATACCTTCTCCAACCTGGATCAAGCCTGTTAAGATTGCTACGATGAGCGCCGAAAGGGCATGTATAATGCTAGTCAACTTTCAGACCTGGTAGGTCGACGAAGGATAGATCTGTCGCCTCGGGATCGCATATGTCCACGCAGACGACGTTCTTCGAGAACTTCAACATGGCACTATCGTTCTTCCCTGCCTCTCGTATCTTCTCGCGTGACCAGCTGTGGAACGCGTTAGGATCCGACTGGGGGTTGAGGATCGCCGCCTGCGCCCGCCGGAGCCATATCTCCACCTCAGCCTTGTCGGTCAAAAGGGGGCTGAAGCTACGCGTGTCAGGAGTAGACCTCTCGCCCTTGGCATTGTAGTCAAAGCGCAGGCTGATCTGGCAAGACCAGGCGCCCTGGGTGCTGCTGAGTGTGCATTCCATTGGGCACCTGCAAACCGTCACAGCGGGTCAAGCAACAAGCAGGTGCGAGTGTAGGCCTACCTGGTGCAGGTCCCGCTGTCGCGCGGGACCTTGATCTGTGATGCAACGCGTTAATATCTGGCTATGCTCGAGGACATGCCGCTCACCCCACTGATAGCCTCGACGAGGGAGCTTTTGCCAGCTAAAACCGTCGTGAGCAATGGCAGGATACGTCTGCTCCGCAGCCACGGCATACCTGACTGTCCGCCGATCACCGCAATTCGCGGCAGCTCCAGGACGCTCTGGATTCTATAGACACGTTCGAAAGCCGCGAGGGACAACATCCTGTTCGACGTACCCTAAAGCTCGCAAATCCTTCATGAGCTTGTGGAGCTCACGCGCCCGCTGAGCGTACTCTGTGTTTGACATGTTGTCATTCCGACTGTCGGAAGAGGTTCCAGAGCGTGTGGCGGGCATGCTTTGGAAACTTTCGACAGAGGAATCACGACCCGAGTCTGGATTATTGTCGACGGTGCGCTTGTCCTTCCTGTTCCAGCGTCTGCCGAACATGGAACGGGAGGTATGTTCGTAACGTTTTCTGCAGGCCCAGGGTAGAGGATGAGAGAGGGTGGGGAGCGTTTATTTCCATGACTGGGGGATGGCACGCTATATATGTAGAAGTTAACGCCAGCGCCTAATCTTATGCACGTTTACCTGAACAGAAGGTGATAGCGCAAACCATATCAGGACTCGTCGTCCTATCTAGGCGCGCGCAGAGCAGGGTGGACCAATTTACACAGACATACAGTGCGCATTTGCACGGTAAAGCTGTACAAATCAGAGTCTCGGATTCGCAGCACGTCCGAGAATTGATGTTCTTGACCATAATAGCAGTGCTTTACTCTTGCACAGCGGCGTAGATCGCCAGAGGCAGTACTTGGAAAGGAGACCGGAATACTCATGGGAGGGACTGCGGCTGAAACGAGGCAAAAGCTGTGGACACCTTTGCGTATTCGTCTCGTCCCAGCTTCGCGGGCGTCAAGGGGAGTTATTCGAGGAAAACGGTTGCTATTCCTTTCTTCGGAAACCTGGGGTCTCTGCGCATTTCATCCAGCCCGTGGCCTCTGCGGAGTTATAGGAACCAGTATACCGTACGGAGGCTACAGCGGAGGCGAGGTCGATGCGAGGGTTACCGCAGCGAAATGCTATCGGCAGTTGCCGCCCCTCGTTTGTCGAGATTATCACCGAAGCTTTGCTAGCGAAACCTACGACACGGACTTCGCATTGGATGCTCATCTAAACGCTATGTAGCAGGGTGGTTTTGAACGGTTACGATGCTGGAAAGCTAAGCGAGCAACATACCGACTATGTACCTGAACTCTCCGTGGCGGTAGCGGACCCAGATAGTCTGTATCGGTCGACCTTAACTAATAAATACTCTAGTCGAGGCGTCTGAGCCATGGAATACAGAAACTCGTGTCCAAACCTATCGTACCCGCTGCTTGCAATCCAAGTTGCCCGTTGAATATAAATGTGACTTACCTTCCTAATGTCCTAGGATGAATACTCTGCATTGGTAACAGAAGCTTTCCATAGTACGGGACTCGCTCACTCGTGGTCATCAATCTTCTCGAGACCTTGGCTCCAAACGACCCGCTCTCTTCGGGATGTAAAGCCGTAGCAGTCAATTTCCTTAGGGCCTGTTCGGTTGCGCGGGTAGGGTAGGGTAGGGTACACAGCCCGGCAGTATTTGTACAAATGTTGCGTCAAAATCCGGAATCAAACGTTTGCATTGAGATTGCCAAACAGGAGCAAGAAAATCGCCCTCGCGAATGAATCAGACCGAATATTTGCATGAGTTTCTTGCCGCGGGATAGCGCAAATGTTGCACAAATAGAGTCACATGACCTGCACGGGACTGATAACATCAATCACGCCATATGCCTGGATTCGGTCCCCTTTCCCACCCCATTGCTCGACGGCGCAGCTCATATGGATGCATGGAAAACAATGTAATCATCATATGTATCTACTACATACACATATGAGCATCTAATGATACATCTTGCATGTCGCAAGACCCAATCTTCCTGTGGTGCACCTACTGTTTCAGAGATAGAAAATACTAAGGTGATATGCCGCACGCTCGTCGGCCTATACAACTTCTGCATCATCAGTATGTTCAGAGACTGCAAGAGTATCACACTTACCCATG